CATGATTCGGATTGGATTTGCCCGGATCGGATTGTTGACCGGATCAGATTTGACCGGATAGGATTGTTGACTGGATCAGATCGGATCGGATCCTGAGTTTGTGCATCTTTAAATATCGCCGAAAATTGAGTTGAAACGAAGAAGTTATGGTTGTTTGAAGTTGAGGTGGATTTGAGTGAAAATCGTCGCCACGACACTACGAAGTATTGTCACGACACGGCGAAGCGTTTCCACAGCATGACAATCTGTCAAGCCCAAGCCCATGATATTTAGGGTTTTCAACGTATAGCATAAGGTTCTGACTTTTTGACCATTTTTTCAGCCTCCATCACATCTAGAAACCCTATGGGAGAAACCTTAGTCTCCATCTTAAAGATTTAAGATTCTAGTCTCTCCTCTCTCCTTTTTTGGATGATTTTGGTGGTATTTTGATGAAACATGAAGATTAAGAAGGTTTTTATGGGTGAGCAGAAAGTTGTTTCAAGTATGGATCCATCAAATGCACTAAATTTTTGGACTATTGTAAGTATAAAGTTCCAATCTTGCTATATATTTCTTTGACCTTTTCATTTGGGGTTTTTGGCACTTTTTCTCCATTTTGTGGGTGATCTTGGAGTTGAGTGGATTCCAACATCATTTGTTCAGTTTGGAATTCTTCTTGGACCTCATGGACTAAGAAAGTTGTGATCTTTTGCATTCCCTTATAACCATGCAAGTTATCTTGGTCCTTTAGCTCATTTTGGTGTACTAAAGTTTAAATTTTCAGTCGCAAGGTGGTTGCGACTCCGATCAGGGATATGTGTTTGAGGATGACGATGATTACTTCACTCTTGGAGCAGTTCCAAGATGCTTATATTGAGGCTATAAAGCAATAGCACTTAAAGAGTGAGCATATTATGGATAAGTTGGCTTCATTCGATTGTGATAGTCGGGGATTATTAAGCCTTTATCGGAGGGTGTGGGTTCCTTATTGGGGTGGTGTACTGCAGGTTTTGATGGAAGAGGTGCACAAGTCATGATTCTTTATTTATCCCTAAGCAATAAAGATGTGTAGAGATCTCCTTCCCAGTTATAAGTGGTCATGCATGAAATAGGATGTGGCATGGTATGTGGAGAGGTTCTTGACTTGCAGGAAAGTCAAGGACGAACATCAGTGACCTCACGGAAAGATAAAACATTTAGACATTCCTGTTTGGAAATGGGAAAAGATTACTATAGATTTCATCACGAAGTTGCCTCGGACAACGCGCAGAGTGGATTAAAGGCATCATCATGGATCGATTGACTAAGAGCGCGCATTTCATTGTGATTTAGGAGAGTATCTCTGCGGAGAAGTTATCCAACATCTACATCAGGGAGGTTGTGACACGATATGGGGTGCCGGTTTCAGTGGTTTCAGACAGGGATGTCCGGTTTACTTCCAGGTTTTGGAAGAGGTTTCACGAGTAGTTGGGTACTCGACTACATTTCAGCACGACTTTCCACCCGTAGACTGATGGACCAAGTGACCAGACTATCCCAACCGTGGAGGATATGCTTCGGGCGTGTCTATTACATTTGAGTGGGAGTTGAAACATGTATCTCCCTTTGGTGGAGTTTTCGTATAACAACAGTTATAATGCTAGCCTTGATCAACCTCTTATTGAGATGCTATATGGGAGGAACTGTAGGATCCCGATATATTGGGGTGAGGTCGGACAACGAGTCATGGGTATTACTGAGGTGGTACTCAAGACTACCGAGTTGATTCAGCAGGTTCAGGGTAGACTTCAGACAGCTCAGAGTTGTTAAAAGAGCTATGCCGACAAGCGCATATCAGATATAGAGTTCCAGGTTGAGGATATGGTTCTCCTGAAGTTGGGCCCCATGTATAACGGTCCTTTCAGGGTTTGGGCCCGGGTGGGCAGGGTTTGCTGATCAAACAGAGGAGATCAGATTGTTGTTTGGGTGAAATACCAAGATACGTAACATCTTCTTGATCTCGGATTTTTAGTGTTTGCTTGGTCTTGGTTAATTACATTTCTATCTATTATTGATGTTTAATGTCTCCTTAATCATAATTTTCAATTATTTGCAGGGTATGTGCTTTTAGTTCTCTATCAAGAACTATGCCATGTTCATTCAATTGAGTTAGGAAAGTATACACTGCTTTGATACCCTTGGAAGTAGAAACACCCAATTTTGAGTTCACAAATGGATAATTGTGATCGATATGGATTATGTGGTTCTTATGTTGTTTGTGATATTTGTGAGAATCAAGCTTCTAACTAGTATGCCAAGTGTTTGTGTAAATTCTTAAAAGAAGAAATTTACAAATTGAAAAGAAAAATAAATTATGTATTACATATTTATTATATATTAACTTGTGTACTTATACTCTTAGCATTAATGTTATATTTATTAATTTTTAATAATTAATGGTCTCCGATTAATCTCCGCCTAACCGGTTAATCCATTGACCTCAGTCCACCGATTAGCCTACCTCAAGCGATTTCTACAATCTTGACTATAGCAAATAAAAAAGTGTTACTAAAACCTTAAAAATTGCAACGTCAAAATTGAAAACTTTCACTAAAAGGTTTTAATGGGACCGCTTCTAGTGATATTTTTTATTTGTGCCGCTTGTTCTCTTTGAGAGATTTAGTGGCAAATTTTTTTGGGTATTTAGTGGCACTTTTTGTGTACCACTAAATGACGCTTTGTTTGTAGCTATGCGAACACATCGACAAACTCCTAATGACTATCCAGAGGTATCAAAGCCGCCAATGAAATCCCGCTCAATAGTTTCACACTCAATCTTGAACCACAACATTCTAGTGGTAAAAGGGGACTACAAACTTTTCCACTGTTAGTGTGTGTTGGTGAGATTGACCATAAAAGCATACACACAAAAAACATTAAAAAAGAAGCATACGTAAATTATCATAATAAAAATAATGATAAAACATAATAACATAAAAACATAAAACCATAAAGAAATTACCATAAAAAGATAAATTAAACCATCTATTTTCTTTTCTTATGAATTGAAATTCCGGATAGACGTAAGGGAATTCGTTTTCTCTTTATCAACCAATGAATTAATTAATACATTTTTTAACAGACTTCCTAAAACTCATACTCTACAATCTCACTCTTTTTAGGTTTTTTTGTCTAACGCTTAGCGGCTTGAATTTGCTTCTTCGTATCCACTATCCCCTTTTTATTGTCTTTAATGTCTTCTAACTTACCTTTCATATATTGTCTAAGTTCGTTAGATTTTGCATTTAGATTTTTGCATTCTGCTTCTTTGCCTTCTAGCATCTTCCTCTTATATATATCCAAAGATGGCACAAGACATTAGCTCATTGTTGGACCTTGATGGATCGGTTGTGTTGGGAATGAATTTCAACCGGTGGGAAGACAGTTATAGAGACACATGGTTAATGACTTTTGGTGTGAATTATGTTAACATCTAAACTAATTTAAGTATATTATGAATATAAAAGTAGGTGGTAAATCTAATTATTTTGACTGATATGTGAAAATTCATATCTAGTTAGGTGGGATAATAAAATGGCATTTGAGGATAAGCATTTGATATTTCAATTTATTATACTTTACACATTTAAAGTCTCTTAATTTTGAAATTGGACATTTACTTTCTAACGGAAAACACCTAAATGGACACTCGAGAATGTTATTCCGGAATGACAACTCTGGATTCCAGACTCAACTCCGGAATATGTTGTTGCATAGAAAATAATTTTGCAAAGAAAAGAAAAAAATTATTATATTTACTAATGAACTCGTTTATAAGGTTAAATTTAATTTGTTTTCGAATTAATAAACGTCGGCATATAACCTACTTAAATCATCTAACCCTAGAAATTAACCCCTCCGGCTCTCCTAAAATTCTACAGCGGTAGATGCTCATCTTGATCCCAGTTTATTGTTGCTCTTCTTCCACGAGTGAGTTTGTTAATAGTCGATTCCCCTTTAAAGCAATATTATGTTTGCTCTTATTTTATGCCATGACATATATAATTTGTTTAGGTTTTAACTTTTACTTTTACTTCTGTAATTTATACCATGAGTAATACTAGATATTGCAACCTGTACCGTATAAAATAGCATACTATGGAAGATTTACTGCAGTTAAGCGTACTAATTTCCGAAGTACTTAAACTTTTCATTTGAATATTTGTAGAGGATATCGAAATAAATGTATTGACTAAAGTAGAATCAAGTTACGCAAATAGAGATTCATTGGACGAATTCTAGGTTCTTTTTGCCAATTCCACCTTACAGGAATTTGGTTAAAATTTCTTGAGAACATTCTTTAATTAAATAACCTTCTTAAACCACAAGGACATGACATACATCTTGTAGAGGACTTTTATGTTCTTTTAATTCCACTTCCTTTTAGTGAGTGATATGTGTAATCATTGATACCTTTTACTCTATACTTTTACATTTCTTGCTTGTTGAAATTTATGCCTTTATGGCATGATGATAATCCAATTAGGTTTTCAATCTTGTTGAAGGTGTGATTTCTGCCAATATTTTTACGTAATTTAATGGTTTTCATGGATTGATTGTATCATAAAATAGATACATGATATATGGCACGCTCAATAGCATCAATGGTTAACTAGAATAAAATTCAGGATTTATAGTTAAACGTATTTATCTTAAAAGTTTAAAGTTGATTTACAAGTATAAAATATATGCATCGCACGAATCCCACTAGTCGTTTCTCATCATATATTAACCAACACACTTTAACCTCTTTGATCTATCTACATTCACTGCTTAACTCTCAAGTCTCAAGTAAAGTATACCCTTTTTTTTTTTTTAATAATTTTGTATACCCTAAATTAGTCCACCTAATTACTTGTTGGATCAAAGAAGTATTTGTTAAGTGCTTGATAAAAGCACTACTAATGAAGCTAGCTTAGCTCTGCTTTTCTAGTGGTTTTTGAATTTTCATCTCCTTGGAAAATTTACAGGTGTACACAATGTCAGATTATCTCAACGAAGGGTTGATTTTTGAAATCTTCATAAGACTACCACCCAAATCCCTCCTCAGGTTTCGATCACTCTCGAAATCATTATGTTCTTTCATTTCCAGCCCCCGTTTCATCCACATGCACACTTTTCAATCCCCTAAAAAACTCCTCATCCAACACCAAACGTATGATAATGAAGACTTCTATACTTTACATTCAGAAGACCAAATTCCATTGGATCCCAGATGTGGATACATTCATACAACACCAATAAACGCTCCATACCTCAAATATTCCATTATCGTTGGTGCATGTAATGGCATTTTCTGTCTGTTTCATTATCAAGAAAATCTTATCAGTCTTTGGAACTTTTCAATTAGACGCAAGATAACCCTCCCTGATTGTCCTCAGAGATGCTTTTCTGGGGTACAGATTGGGTTTGGTTTTGACCCAATCGACAATGATTACAAGATTGTTAAATTACCCACATACGGAGGAAGAGAAGAAAGTTCATTTGTTTACAGTATTAAGACAGACGCATGGTCTGAGATTGCTTCTCCTACTCCTATTTTTGATGAGGTGTTATTAAATGCGTGTTTTGTCAATGGGGCTTTACATTGGGTTGTAGAACGTCATTATAATAAATTACATGATGTAGCGCATTTTTATATACTGAAATTCGATTTGGGCACTCATGTTTTTGACATGATTGCGTTGCCAGAACCCAACAGCAAAACAGCACGACTAACAAGCGTACGAGGTTCTCTAGCTGTGATTTCTGGGGATTATGTGTTGAAGGTCATCACTAGCCCAATAGAATCATGTTATTGTCTAGAAGAAGTTAGCATGTTCTAGAATGATCTGGAAGATTCTAGAACATTATGGAATACGATGGAGGAGTGTTGAAGATGCCGGAAGATTCTAGAATACTCTAGAACGAGATGGAAGACCCTGGAAGGCTATGGAACATTCTAGAACACTATGGAAGACACAAGAATGTCTATACTTATCTAGGACATTATAGAACATTCTAGAAACATATAAAAGTTTGTAATAGATATAGAATATGGTAGATAGTTCTAGAATAGCCATGAATGTATGTAGACCTAGAAACTTCCTATAAGGAGGTGGAAACACCTATAAATAGGTGTGGAGCTCATTTGCTCCAAACAATCCAACATCTAAGTATCCAAGAAAGCCTCAAAGAAAGCAAAGTGTGTAGTAGTCTCACAAAGTGTAAGTTCTCCTTAAGTGTCTTAATAAAAGTCTTGTTGTTTCCCATATAAAAGAGTTGTGTTCAACAATCTGGTATCAGAGCCTGGTTTCTTGATAATGAGAACAAGTGATTCTCGTTGTATCGTGAGTAGTTTGTGACTCTGCAAGTTTAGTGTCGAAACTAGCTTGTTTGGTATTACCGAGGTACTGCCAACACGATGGGTGATCTCCAAGTCTTCGGAGGAATCAAGAAACTCAACAACAACAACTACAAAACGTGGGAAACATGTATGAAGTCCTACTTACAAGGACAAGATCTGTGGGAGGTCGTTGGTGGAAGCGAAACTACGCCACCAGAGGAAGACGTTAATGGTGCTTTGCGCAAGTGGAAAATCAAAGCAGGCAAAGCAATGTTTGCCTTGAAGACCACAATTGAAGAAGAGATGTTGGAGCATATTCGGGATGAGAACACCTCAAAAGAAGCTTGGGACACGTTTGTGATGCTTTTCTCAAAGAAGAATGATACAAGACTACAACTTTTGGAGAACGAGCTATTATCAATCTCACAATGTGACATGACGATTGCTCAATATTTCCACAAGGTCAAGTCGATATGTCGGGAGATTACTGAACTAGATCCGCAATCTGTCATTGCAGAAGCTCGAATGAAGAGGATCATTATCCATGGACTGAGGCCGGAATATAGAAGCCTTGTTACTGCTGTACAAGGATGGCCTGCTCAACCATCACTTGTAGAGTTTGAGAATTTGTTGTCCAGCCAAGAAGCAGGCAAAGCAATGTTTGCCTTGAAGACCACAATTGAAGAAGAGATGTTGGAGCATATTCGGGATGAGAACACCCCGAAAGAAGCTTGGGACACGTTTGTGATGCTTTTCTCAAAGAAGAATGATACAAGACTACAACTTTTGGAGAACGAGCTATTATCAATCTCACAATGTGACATGACGATTGCTCAATATTTCCACAAGGTCAAGTCGATATGTCGGGAGATTACTGAACTAGATCCGCAATCTGTCATTGCAGAAGCTCGAATGAAGAGGATCATTATCCATGGACTGAGGCCGAAATATAGAAGCCTTGTTACTGCTGTACAAGGATGGCCTGCTCAACCATCACTTGTAGAGTTTGAGAATTTGTTGTCCAGCCAAGAAGCTATGGCTAAGCAAATGGGAGGCATCACGCTGAAAAGTGAAGAAGAAGCACTCTACACAAGTAAAAGTCGAAGGAATTTCAAGCCACCTTCTAAAGAAGGATACAAAAATGCTGACAAAGGGAAGAGTCAGCAAGGAACCTCACAACCATGGAGATCTCAAAAGACCGACAATAAGAGTTCTCAGGGGAGGAGGTTCGAAGGCAACTACAACAATTGTGGAAAGTGGGGCCACATGTCCAAGGATTGTTGGTCAAAGAAAAATTCTGTGGAAAGCAATATAGTAACTTCCAAAAAGGAAGTAGAGGATGAATGGGATGCTGAGGCACTATGTGCTATAGAAGAGAATAAGACTAAAAGAGGAAGGCTAATGTTCGTGGATGCCAGGGTAAATGGAGGATACACCAAGGCATTGGTAGATACAGGTGCATCCTATAACTTCCTTGCTAAAGATGAAGCTAAAAAGTTGGGCATCAAATACACCAAAATCCAAGTCGGTTGAAAGTCATCAACTCTTTATCCAAGCCTATCATTGGTGTTGCATATGGAGTACCTCTTAAGATAACAGAATGGGAAGGCACCATAGACTTTGATAGTGGTGCATATGGATGACTATCGTATGGTATTGGGAATGGATTTCCTAGACAACGTATGACCCTGGTCATTTGAGAGAGATGATACCATGCGTATCACTAAGGGTTCAATAATTCACATTGTACCCTTGAAGAGAAATATGATTGGATCCCGAATGCTATCAACTATGAAACTCGACAAAGGTATCAAGAAGAACGAGACAAAGTTTATGACAACCTTGAAGGAGGAAGATGTTCATTCAAAGATGGATGCTCCAAAGGAGATTAATAACATGACATCACCAGAGTTGCATAAAAAGTCTCATCTTAGACGAAAAATGGAACATGTGATCGAGAAACTGGATAAGGCGGAAAAGAAGAAAAACACATTAATTCGTAAGAGCAAAGTAGAATTTCTCAACAGAGCAACATCTAAACGAGATGAGCAGATCAATAAGGGATCACGTCATAACATGTTAATATTGTGGGAATTTTCCAAGGCTTGTAAAAGGGACAACTCACATGCTTACAAGTTTCTCAAAGGGAGGCATAAGAAACTACACAAGACAGTTCAACAAAGTCAGGAACAATATTATGGTGCAACAAAAGGCAACCACGAATGTCATTGTCAACTATGGAAACAATATACGAAGCAACGACTGCAACAACTAAGGAAAAACAAAACATGTAGAAGAGAAAAAGTTCTCAAGGAAGAAGTCAATATGAAACATATCAAGACTAACGACCAAGTAGCAAATGGAGTTCATAAAGGGTTAAATACTGACAAATATGAGGGCTTTAATTATCAGCTCAACATGGTACAACGAATAGGGGCTAGTGCTGAGGGGGGGTGTTGAAGGTCATCACTAGCCCAATAGAATCATGTTATTGTCTAGAAGAAGTTAGCATGTTCTAGAATGATCTGGAACATTCTAGAACATTATGGAATACGATGGAGGAGTGTTGAAGATGCCGGAAGATTCTAGAATACTCTAGAACGAGATGGAAGACCCTGGAAGGCTATGGAACATTCTAGAACACTATGGAAGACACAAGAATGTCTATACTTATCTAGGACATTATAGAACATTCTAGAAACATATAAAAGTTTGTAATAGATATAGAATATGGTAGATAGTTCTAGAATAGCCATGAATGTATGTAGACCTAGAAACTTGCTATAAAGAGGTGGAAACACCTATAAATAGGTGTGGAGCTCATTTGCTCCAAACAATCCAACATCTAAGTATCCAAGAAAGCCTCAAAGAAAGCAAAGTGTGTAGTAGTCTCACAAAGTGTAAGTTCTCCTTAAGTGTCTTAATAAAAGTCTTGTTGTTTCCCATATAAAAGAGTCGTGTTCAACATTATGATGGTAGTTGGGTTTGGGTGAGGAGGGATGATTCTTGGAATGTGGTTTATAAAATGAAAAGAAAGCATGTATTTGATGGAGGATTATTGAGTGTTGTGCAATTGACCACTAATGGTGATTTGTTGTTGTTGTGTGAAGGGTTCCAGATTTATAACCCTAAGATTGGGGTTCCATCAAGACTAGTTGACTTCCGTTCTGATTCTTTCATAGTTGGCACGGAGATGTGTGTTGAAACGCTTTAATTGTTTGATATGGCAACTGCAACTTCTTGATCATATTATCATTGTTACTTCACCGAATTGTTTCTTTCGTTTTACCGAATTGTTTCTTTCGTTTTCTTCATCTTTTGTTAATTAATCTTAGGGTGAATGTCAATCTAACCCTACAAACTTTTCCCATTTTTTTTACAGGCACTTTTTTTTTGAGTCCTTAAATTTGTTGTTAACCTATTAATTACACCATTTTACTAGGCAAATTGGACTTATTTTACCGACATGTGGCATCCACTTATATTAATATTCAATTTTAATTATGTTATTCTTTAAAACTAGTTTCTATATGTATTAATTGGTTTATATTATTCTCACATATTCGATGATGAATTTGATGATCCAACCCCGGTGGCATTGTATTCTCCTTTGATCTTACGATATTCCTTGTTTCATGATCACTGCGTTTACATAATCAAATTCATAACAGCTAAAAACCATATATGCATAGAGAAACAAGAACTTGTTCCCGTTCTTTTGGAATGTGTGTAGCAGTGGTCGTATTGGTGCCTATGTGTGGTTTAGTTAGTTGCAGGGAGGAGGAGAATTGATTTAACCTTCCAAGAACCCTACACGATGGGTGAACAAATGAACTGGACAGGAGAACCAACACCAAATTAATTGGATCCCAACTTCTTTTTAACTAAAGTTGGTCTAAGAATCTGAGATGCGAATACAATAAGTGATGAGATTATGAACACCATGTAAATAATTGCAAAATAAAAGCAAGAGGATGACGAGGACACCGTGAGTTTCTTTCCTTGACGAGAGAGAAGGAAAATATCAACTTTAAGTCCTTAAAATATCAAAAAGATAGATTAGAGACATTTTAAAACAAATGCGAAAAGTTTGTAGGGCTAAAATGATATTAACCCTTAATCTTAAATATTTGATAACTAGAAGGAAATCCATGCTTTGCATGGGGCAGAAAATGTTACTTATTAGCCCATGGTTGGGCTAAATGCACAATGATATTTGATAAAATCTTCTTCAAGTGTAAGAAATATTTCCTTCAAATTCTTTCCTAAAAAAATTCCAATGGCAGTATGAGAATAAAGGGGAGAAGAACTAAGAATTTGAAAATGACATAGAATTGTATGTAGACAGTATAGTTTCTTCTATGAGTCTTTGATGCTCTAATGTTCCACTTTTCTTGTCATCTTGTTTGCAACTGTATGTCTTTCATATCAGACCTCTTCAACTTCATGTTATATGCCAATAACAATTAGCTACAAGACAATAAACCAATCTTTTGAGAAGTGAAAAATAAATATAAGTAATAGGCATAACTTGATAATTTGTGATATTTTCAATATATATATATATATATATATATATATATATATATATATATATATATATATATATAAATTTGAACGTTCATTGTTGAACCGATAAACCCCCTAACATTTTGAAGTTGTATTAACTTCTCGTAAAACTCAAAAGCCCAACAAAGATTACTTACATAAAGTAGTAATCCCATTTTTTTTTTCTTTCATTAATTCAAGATAACAATTTAAAAAATAATGAAATAATGATCCCATTTTTTCATTTAATTTCAAAGCACATGGTATAAACTTAAACAACTCTGTATAAAAGAATAATTAGGATATTGAAGTACTTTTTAAGGTTGTAAGGATATGAGTGAAATTTTCCGTAAATATTAACCTTATTTTTGTGCACTTACCACTAAAACTTAATTAAATTAGGACCATTGCTTTTGCTAGAAGGTGCCAAAAATAAAATGAAGTGACATACCTCATAATCCCCAAAGGCAACATGCATTCCACCTCTATTACGCACCTTGAGTGTGTTAAATCCATGATACCTATAACCTAAATGCATAATACAAGTCTTCAGTACAAATTGAAAATGTACAAAAGTAAAAATCTCAATATTTGGCTCTACTTACTGGGAAAGAACAAGTTTTAGATCAACCTCCATAAACTGTATTTTTTACTTGCTCCTGTAACTCACAATCAATGTTCCCGTAACTCACAATCAATCAATACATCAATCTAGTTGAAAATTTAAACAAAACTAAAAGCTTACATTTTATGTACCCACATTATTCAGTGAAATTAACCACTTACCATTGGTTCACCTGAAAGTCCTATGCCTGTGACCATCTTATGAAGCCATTAATGCATGTACTGCCTCTTAAACAATCCACATTTCTCAAACATTCATCTTTTGTCATTGAAATAAAAAACCCACATCACATTTTTATTATATCAGAAATGAGGCAAAGTAGAGGTAGAAAGAGAGACACCCACCTCTATTTTGTTGTGAAGGTATCATTAGCCATCATGCATTCTTGCTTCCTATTTTTACTTTTTGACCTTTTGGGGGGATTTTTCTAAAAACTTCACAGTACAAAATATGCAGATGTCTTCACCCAACACCTAAGAATTTCGAGCTCAAAACAAAGAGGAATTCTCTTTCACAATGAATTCATTGGACCTTTAAAAAAAACATCTTTTAACTATTCTGATGGCTATTCTTCTGAAATAAGACTAAAATTAGTCATGGAATTGTTTTTCTAAATGTACATTATCAAGTATTTGTAATTCTTTGGGTTTTAAAATGCAGATTTGATGATAGCCATTTAAAACACATCTTTGATATAATTGGTTCATATATTACCATTTTCCTTTGTGTTGATTAATCTATTATATAATTACTTTGAATAGTTATATATTATCAAACAGTTAAATGGTTAAGTGGTATTTTATTACATAAAGCTTCATGCACGATATGATAAATTAAAAGAAACTTATGATTTAAAGATTATAACAGAAAGCTCCCAAAGATTATACTTTACACAAAATCACCAGTCCATGCCAAAAAGTTAAAAAGGAAGTTTAAGAGAATTATGAAAATATTAAAATTTTTACATGATATATTCAAATTTTTATGAGAAAGTGAAGAATCGAAGCTTGAATTTGAAAAGGCTTCATCAAAATTTGTATTCACGATTAAAAAAACATATAAATTTAATGGGACTAGCTATGTTTGATTAATAAACCAAAAACAAAACAAAAAGTGAAAAAAGATGCAAGGATCGACAAATACCCAAAAGAAAAATTAACCACGCAAACTTCAAACCCCATGATGAAGTTCCCAAAAGAAATTTTAACTAAAAAAATACCCAAAAGTGAATAATTAAAAGGTTAAGACCATGAGGTATGGGCAATTTTTTGCTCGTGTTATGGCTGAGGTAGCGGCCATAACACCGTCTTAACGAAATGAACACCAACGCCACCTTCTCGTTAAGGGGTGTTGTGGTGTAATACGTTGTAACGGGGACAAGATGCAACACAAATTGTGATTGGTTCTCTTTCTTTCTTTCCTATGCTTTTCTTCTGTTTTGGTTTCACCTCAACGACGTTATGGCTGAGAATACCACCTGTTGTTAAAGTCCTGAGAAGAAGAAAATTTTATGGCAACCATTGTGAATGGGTATGGTTGTGACCCATACCCAATGCTATAATGAAATGGATATACTCACCAAACCACCTACCATCCTCCGCTTTCAACATATTTACTTGATTCAAAAGAAGTATCACATATTTTCAACATACACATATCACAATCATTTGGTGCTCTTATTTACCAGAACAAAAATAAGATAACAAAGAAAAATTACATTCTTAAGACGAAATCTGTAAAGAATTGCTATCTGATACACTAATTATCTTATTCAAAGAGATTATCATAAAAGAGAGCACATCAGGTAAATGGCAGTTTCCATCATACTTGACACAACCTTACAATCTTCGATCTCACCATACTTTCCAAATTCATTGGTTAGAATCTCAACATGCGTATACAAATTTAGGCTAAAAACTTATATAAAAATGTGTGTAAGAAGCTTGTGTAGTCGATGATGGAGTAGCTCTAATACCGGTTCTTTTAAGCATTTCATCAAGTAGTTGATGTGCATCTTTAAACCTGTCAATTATGAACAAAAAACCAATCTAATAAGCCCCAAATTAGTTTATTTTTTCACAGGAAATTTTTATCCAAAATTATATATGAATTCATTATGTGAAAATAGAATGACTAGGTTAAGATGGAATAGCTGAAGATGGACTTCCAAATCAGATCCAAACAAAAATTATTAGAGTTAGAGTAGGAGAAGACGGAAATCAAAATGAATAAAAAAAATACTTTCCAAATCATACCCAAAACAAAGTTTAGCTTACCTCAGACCTAAAACGTAAACCTACCTCCTTCAACACATAGAGCGAAATCAAACAACGTCATCAATAGAGAAGAAGTAGAAGAGGGAAAAAGGAGACAAGCCTTAAATCAACATACCTGAACTCTGTTACTAAGGATTGGAAGTGTAACCATGCATGAGGGAAGCAAATAAGCAAAAAGAAAATGTGACCACCTCTAATCGTGGAAGGGTCGATCGATTTAGAAAACGAAAAATATCAAGAGTTTCTCCACTTTAATCTCAATTTGATTATTTTTCCACAATTCATTTCCTACAAACTAAAAACGTTCAACCCTAAAAGCACAATCCACCAGCGACCGAAGTGAAGTTTGATAGGAGGTGGAGGTTGTTGGGGAAAAATGAAATAAGGTTATTGGAAATCTGGATCACAAACAGGAATCGTGTTATCATTTTCCTTGTTTGATATTTCGACCCTATATGCCTTGGGTATCATGAAATCCAAACTGGGATAATTCCTGATGCAACAATTCTGATTTTAAGCACAAAATCAGAATCAATTTTGAGAAGATGAAGAAGAAAGCGTTTCCACTTTTCTGTGTTTCAAACTTGTTATTTTTCCCGGATTTATCCAACAAGAACAGTTTGCATCTTTCAGAAAAGACAGATTAGTCCTTGAATTTGCATTTTTCAAGAATAACAGATTAGTCCTTGTATAGTTCTAACAATGTTTAGTAAATACAAGTGTGCACTCTCATACCTCCTAACTTGTATTTTAACTAAAACATTA